AAACAGCAATTACTGACTTCTAGCCCAACCATGAATTGTACCTGCCTGTGCTCCCATACACAACTGGTGTAAAAACCAAAACCATACAAGCAGCCATGTACCGTTAGAACGGAGCATTCCTAGGAAAGGTACCTAAGCATGGGCTTACCTGCTGGCGTTGGTGCTTACTCGGCTTTCCTTTGGCAGTTATGGACAAGAACACCGCCGAAGGACAGACAGCTGCAGAGGTTGCTCAGGTGGTTCTCAATGCGGTGGGACAGAAGAAGAAAGAAGTACTTGTAGCTGGCCTAACACCCTCCCTGGCTGTCTACCTGCGAAACCTCTTCCCCAGGCTGTTCTTCACCTTAATGGCAACTAGAGCAAAAAAGGAGAAAAAAGCAAAGGACTCTTAGAGCTCAGCTCATTCGAGCAGTAACTGTAGGGAGAGGCTAACCCCCTGCAGTTTGGCTGGGACATCAGTGGAGCTGCTCCTGCAGGAAAAACCTTTCTCAAAATGCTGCAATTCACCATTGCATGGAGAGTGGGAAGCGGTTTCCCCCACATCAGGGCAGGCCCACTCGCTGGAAGACAGCACCTAAACAAGGGTGCTCGGACAGAGGGGGAGAGCTGAGGCTGCAGGGGAGGGAAACTCAAGGGAACACACTTTGCAGCAGGGGAAGCTCCATGTGCTGGAAGACAGCACCTTACCTCACCTCGCTCCAGGCCTGCTCAGCTTTACTGGCCTGCTACAAATAAAACCCACCTGGTTTGCCTTCACACAAGCAGACCTTAGCTTTGCCGACCCCGCAGCCCCTGTGAAATACAGTCCTCAGCTGTGAGCTCTCATGATCATTGTCTCCTTCCCACTCCTTCCAATCTGATCTAGAACGTATTGCTTGAAGTGGGAAACTTCACAGAGCCTCTGCTCGTTAACATGCCAAATCATCTGTTAATGTAAAGTTAAGTCCAGTGCCATTTTTAATGAAGTAACTGATGTAAATCTAAGTTTTATTTGCCCGTTATTTTATCTGTCTGAATCATGCCTTACTGATATACAGGGATGTTTAACTCTGTATTACCTGACAGTAGAGCATTAACCCCAGCACAAGTTAATACAGGGGAAGCACTGAACAGATAGAAAATGGCAGAGCAAGGTATGCTGTTGCGTGTAAATACTGTGCAGCTGAGAGCAGCACACCTGGTCCGCCTGCAGGCCTAGAGCACAGAGTAGGTGTGATTCCGTAGATGCCAGGCAAGCAGAGGAGAATCTGTGCGCGTAGGGTGGACAGTATAGGAGACAGACCCTTACCCATCTGTTTTAAAGCAATCACGGATGCTAATTGGGATGCAATGTCTGGTGGGGGAACAACACCTGCCCGTTCACCTATCGTAGGCTTCAGGGAGTCTGACGGCCTGAGGGAGTGCCATATTCCATGCTTCACCCCTTCTCCTCATGTTGTGAGGGATACCAGCACCACTGTGCAAAAGGAGTGGCTGCACAGAAATAATTCAGTAAGGACAGAAATAATCTTTTTTAACTTGCAATTGAAATAAAGCCTACTAATAGGAACCAAGGGCCAGACCCCTGCTGCCACCTCCATGCACTTACCAGCATTTTCCATGTGTACTGCCTTGTATGTCCTGCCTGTGAGTGCACATCTGATGCCGAATAAATTACATTGCTATGAAATTAATCCTTTGTTCTACTTCAGCTCCTCACAGCAGGTAACATTAAAGAATGGAAAAGCAGGAGGGTTTTGTTTTTCTTTTCTTACATTCCTGCAAGGTACTGTTGTACCAGTAGTAGTTGCAGAACAACATACTTTATCTCAGCCCTCTTCGCATCATCCGTCAGCTTACAGTAGACATAGTGTGGATCCACACAGAGGATTACTCACACTGAAACTGTGATACAGGTGTGCAGGCTCAGCAGGACCTTCTCCTTCACAAGGCCTTTTCCTGACCACTACAGATTTATAAATGACCTCTGAGAATCCATCCCAGATGATGACCGGGCCGTGTTTAATGATCACAGTCCTGCTGCTCGGTTAGGACATCCTCGACCATTTTCACTGTGGCCGAGGTTGCAGATTTGTTACATAAAGGCCTAGAGTTGAAATTACATGTTGAAGCTTTCAGGTGCGTGTATCTTTTTTTCCTGTTAAGGTAGGAAAGCAAGGCATTACCTTCTCTCCCTCGCCACAGGGGGACTTTCTGTAAGTGTTGCTTGTGCTTTTCCTTTCGTGTTTTTGCATGTTCAGGTCCTCCATTTCTTGGCAAAATACAGTACTCCTGCCAGTCTTGTCCAGCTGCTCTGTCTTCTAGTGTTTCAGGTCATGGCCACCCAGGAAGGACTGAGGGGCCACTTTGCATTTCTGTGTTATCATCCAGGGAGCTGAGGGGTGTAACACGTCAGGCCTGAGGAAAAAAATTGCATGCGGGGAGTTACTGCAGTTACTGTTTGAACTACAGCTCCAAGTCAGCAGTTACTGAGCGTGTGCACATTCCCCTGTGAAAGTAAATTCCCCGTCTGATGAGAGGAACATAGTGCACTCCCATTTCAGAGCACCTCCACAACGGTCAGGATGGGCAGCAAAGCACGAGGGGCTTTTGAGAGGGAGTCTCATCCCCAGCCACCGTAACCCACAGCTGCCAGCCACAGGGGGAGGCAGATACAGTGACTATCTCACGCAACGCACTGAAACACACAACCCTCGAGACCCATCTCGTTTTCCCAGGTCACCTTGCATAGATACAGCACTGACCAAGCGTTCTAGCTAGATTATCACTAACGTTTCTTGGAAAACAAGCCCCCTTGCCCTCCCATCTATGTCCTCTCCAGCTCAGAATGGAGTGAAGGGTGCGTTTTTAAAACAGACCTACCTGTTGTGACAGCTAAGCTGACGTTTCACCTTTTCTCCTGCAATAAGAGACGACAGGAAACTTGCTCATTTTTTAACTCCAGAGTCTCTGATGCAAGTGACGCATTTAGGGAGCCTACCAAGGGTTAGTCTTTCTGCCAGTAATCATTCCAGGCAAGGGAAAGCTTAAGACAAAAAAAGGCCAGGACCACGGAGGTTTGGTGAAGAAAAAGAACTGACAGCCCTGACAATTATTCTGCATTAATAAAAAAGAGCAGGAAT